GAATCAATCCATTTCATAGAGGGTCTTCCCCTCCTGCGCCGTCCCTCCACCCTCCCACGCATGATGTCCTTCTCCAAGGACCCGTCCCTCCTGGCAACATGTCCAATAGTCTCAATCTATTCTCCTCATGTGACTACTTCTTACTTCTTAAAATCAGGTTATAAACATTGAAAATCAGGATTGTTTAATTTTGTAAACAATTTTGTGAGTGTGTGTGTGTGTGTCCTAAATTGTTCTTTTTAAAAATTATTATTATTATTATTATTATTTTATTATTAATTTCAATGAAAATTTACAGAGACTTTGGATTTCCATTCACTCACTGTTGCACTTTTCGCTCCTCCTAACCCTCCCCCCTAGTACACTACCCTCTTGGAAAAGTCAAAGAAAAATTCTTTCATTGTTTTACAATCCCTCCCCCCAGGTCCACTCCACTATTCAGCAATCATTCTAGACTCTTATCATGACAAAAATATCTAATCACATATCCCATTTAAACAGTTTTCTTCCTCATCTGTTTCAATGCAGTATACATTATTGAACCCATCTTTCTCAGTCTCCTCCCAACCCCGAAGTCAGTCCTGTTTTACAACAGTGGCACCATGCATTATTTGTCCTTTTGTGACTGAGATACTTCACTCAGCATAATGTCTTCCAGGGTCACCCATTTTGAATAATATTGCATGAGTTCCTTGTTTTCCAATGCAGCATAGTATTCCATTGTGAGAATATACCACAGCTTCTCCATTTGTTATTTGATGGGCACTTAGGTTGTTTCCAACTCCTTGCTATTGTGAACAAAGCCATAATAAACATGGGTGTGCATATGTCTGCTTGGATGTCAGTTATGGTCTCTTTGGGGTATATTCCCAGTAGTGGAATTGCTGGGTTAAATGGTATCTCTAACTTACAACTTTTTGAGAAAGCACCATACTGCCTTCCACAGTGGTTGCATCATAAACAGTTTTAATTTTTAAAATTAGTCCTGAGAGAGAGACAACAGTATATATGGTCAGCCTCTTTGTTACTGTCTATTTGGGAGGCATTAAATGCATAGTATGGTAACTCTCCATAAACATTCATGCATACCTACACACCTCTGTCTTATTCCGTTCTTCCAGTAGTTGCTAAAAAACACAAACATATACACAAAAATTGATAATACTGGCAGTTAATATTAAAGTTGTTCTTCATGCTTTTATTTTAGGGGATAGTTTTTCATGAGTTTTAATGTTATATTGTTAATTTATTTGTTTTCAAATACACTAACATGGTGACAATTTCATCCACCCTGAACTAAGACAGCCATACTTGAGGAATGGCCGTTATATATAATATGTATTTGTTTAAGAAAGAATTGTTGGTAATTATGCCAGATCTGACTTTTATATGAAGTATTTTTCTAAAATTATTAACTTAGGAAATGACAACGAAAAGAAGGTTGTATAGTTACTGTTCTAACTATATAATGTTTTAAACTTAATAGAGAAGATTAGCTTCCAATTTAACCATTTTTGTTTGTTTGTTTAACTGAAACTATAAATTGTGAAGAAAGTGACAATCTATTTTTTTTTTAAAATTAGCTTCATCGTAGAGAGGATTAAACCAGGCTGCTACTTGGAGGCAAGGATTCTGGGGCTTTGTCTGACATACTTTGGACATGTTGTAAGGAGAGACAGGTCTTTAGAGAGGGACATCATGCTGGGTAGAGTAGAGGGACAGCGCAGGAGGGGAAGACCCTCTATGAGGTGGATTGATTCAGTGACTGGGGTAATCGAGATGGGTGTGTCAGAAGCAATGCGATTGGCACAGGATAGAGCATGGTTTAGGGCTGTTGTACATAGAGTCGCTTGAGTCGCAAACGACTCGACGGCACATAACAACAACATATATCCTGGAAATTTTATTCATGCTTCCATATGTGGTGTAAAGCATCAGTGTATATAAGAGAGAGGAATTTGTGTTTGTGTGTGTGTGTGTGTGTGTGTCTGTCTGTCTGTGTGTCTGTTTAGCCTCTAGCTGGAAAGTGCTTGTTGTCTGATCGATAAGAATACAAACTCTTAAGTCTTGGAATTTTTGGAGCTATTCAAGTTCTAGTACTGCATACAAAAATTTGTTTAAATAAGTATAAATGCTTACAATCATTCCCTTTTTTCTATTTGGTTTTGTAGTTAGAACAGAAACTATAGAGGTGGGAGGGCTGGTGCAAGAGTGGGAGCAGAAACAGCAGTGTGCAGTACAAGGAGCTGTAACAGAGGCACTGTTTAGGGTGGTGGCACAGGAGAATGGTTAGAATATTAAAAGGTATGTGCTTGAGGGCTGTGATTTGGAAAATTCATGTTACTGATTTATCAAGGCCATTATTAAGGAAAATTGGTATCTTTTTATTAACTGCATGGATATGATGGGAGATGAATATACCTATTATTTAGTTTGATGCTGCTGCCATGATTGCTATCAGCAGTCTTGTATATAGAAAAATATGTGTGGGGGATATAATTAAATGAGTTGTTTGTGTATATAAGTGAATACTTGCCATTTCAGCATTTTTATAGTTAAACTTTTATCATGTTGTGTATCTATCACCATTTTGTTTACACTTTTTTCTATCCCTCTTAACAGAAATTTAGGATCCCCTAAAGAATGAGTCCTCCTTATCCTTACTGCCTCTGCTAACAACAAATAATCTTTGATCTCTATTCTTTTGGCTGCTGTAGATTATACAAATGGGATCAGATAGTATTTGTCCTCTTGTGACTTACTTAGCACATCGTTTTCAAAGTTCATCCCTGTTGAAACATGTATCATGACTTCATTTCTCTCTATACAATGTTGAGTAATATTCTACTACATTATAGTATATGTATACTACATTTTATTTATGCATTCATCCACGGTTTAACATTAGATTGTTTGTACCTTTCGTCTGTTGTGAGTAGTATTGCAATGACCATTGATGTACCACTGTCTGTTTTCCTGGTTTCAATTCTTTTGGATATATAACCTAAGAGCAAAGAATCAGTAATCTTACTCACCATTGCTTTCACATCATCAGAGTGTATATGTCAGTGCAGTGAAATAATAATTGAATTTAAAAATGGTTTCTTTCCAGTAATCAGGCTTTACTCTCTCCCCATTTGGCTGCAGATCCCAATTATCTCATGGCTAACGAACGCATGAACCTAATGAACATGGCCAAGCTGAGTATCAAAGGCTTAATTGAATCAGCTCTCAACCTGGGGCGGACTCTGGACTCTGACTATGCTCCTCTCCAGCAATTCTTTGTGGTGATGGAACACTGCTTGAAACATGGCTTGAAAGGTAGGTCAGCGCCTGCAAATACAGTGCATGAGGTTCTTCCTTTGTAATATATTCACAAGAAGAAAAAAAATGTTTTTTTTGGGTCAAAGCATAAGAGTATTGAATCAAAAATATTAATACACCAAAATGCAACCCTTATGGTATATTTGTCTAGTTTTCTCCACTGCTGTGACTCCAACACCTACTACACAGTCTGGGCTAAGTAATTAGTCATTGAATATAATTTAAATTATTCAGTTAAAAATGTTCATCTTTACTAAGATTACAGAAAATTTTATGCATTATACATTTCTTTGTTACATTGTTTTTGTTATTTAGACTTCCCCTCTCTCCCAATAAACAGTGTACAGAGAATCTCTGAATGGGTTCTGTTCTGACAATTCCATTGTAGGTCCATTCTGATCTGAGTCAAATACCTTTCTCTTTTTAATTTTTATTATTAGTACCTTTTCTTTTCATCATTGTATTTATAAATCCAATCTTTGATCATTTGCAAGTGAACATCTTTGATAATATCAGCAAATTATGTGCTGCAATACCCTAAGTAGTATATCCTACTATATATACAGAAAGTATACCAAAAAGATGTGACCAATATGGTGTAAATTACAGCTACCTTTAAAGATAGGCAGTCTCTTCTCATGTGATTTACTGCCTCTGAAAACCCATTGGAAGGATAACTGTGAGTAAAATCTGACTCAGTGGTACATAACAACAAAAGTTTTAAAATCTCTACTCCGTAGGCAGGTTATAATTAGTGAGTTAGACATTTACTTTATTATCACTGATGTTTTTTGTTATTCAAAATCCCAAAGTTTAAATTCTTTGTCTCAGACTTTCTTAACATTTCATTATGTTTAATAGAAACTCTATTTTAAATGGTACATAGGAATGTTTTATTTACTTAGATGGATTAAGTCAGGTAATTACAGGAAGCTTCAGATTTACCACTATCCTAATTCAACCATCAATAAACAAGGCTAGTGGTCAGCATTTTTTCTTCATTAGATAGCTGTACTGAGGATATAAATACATCTTTTTGGGGGTTTTCCCCCCTCTGTGGTAAACCATTAACATTTTCCTTGATGCTATGGTTTATGTAATTCTTTTATGATCCCATAAAATTAAAAGAGGATAATTTTTATTCTGTATTAATAGACATTCACGTAGCTGCAGATTTTTCCAGAATTTCTTTTTTCTGTCTAAAGTATTTTATGTCATTAATATTTTTTTAAACCGTATCTTATACAATTCTTCTTTAAGGCAAACTTGGCATCTAAAATTATGTTTTAAAATTTTTTAATATCTATCAAAAGAGACTAAAGTTTGTCTTGAACATAAAGTAGGAAAATAGACGAAATTAAGAAGTAAAAAATAGCTAAAGATAAGAATTCAAAGCATGGCTTGAGTTGTAATTAATTAGATACCATCAGACTGCACCCTTCAATATGGATTGAAGCTCAACATCAAGAAAACAAAGATTCTCACCACGAGGCTGATTAGCAGCATTATGACAGATGGTGAAGAGACTGATATTGTTAACAGCTTTAGTTTGCTTGGCTCCACTATCAGCACTCTTGGTACCAGCAGCCAGGAAATAAAAAGACGAATTGCACTGGGAAAGTCGGCTGTCAAGGACCTCTCCAAAGTACTGAAGAGCAACAGTGTCATTCTGGAGACTAAGATGGGCCTGATCCAGGCCTTTGTTTTCACAATTGCTTGCTATGCATCAGAGAGCTGAACAATAACTAGGGGTGATAGAAAGAGAATTGATGCCTTTGAGCTGTGGTGTTGGAAAAAAGTATTGCCAGGAGTACCAACAGGTTCATACTAGAGAGGGTGAAGCCAGGCTGCTCCTTGGAGGCAAAGAGTCTGAGGCTTCGTCTGACATACTTTGGACATGTTGCAAGGAGGGGTCAGTTCTTGGAGATCATGCTTGGAAGGTTAGAGGGACGGAGAACTAGAGGGAGACTCTTGATGAGATGGATTGATACAGTGACTTGGGTAAGGAGAGTAGGTGTGTCAGAGATGGTAAAGGCACAGGATAGAGCAGGTTTCAGGGCTTATTGTAGGGTCACTTATAGGGGTACTATGAGTCACAAGTGACTTGATGGCATGTGACAACAACAACAGCCACCATCAAGTGGACTAAAATTCATAACAACACTGTCTTTGTACAATAGATCTGGGCCTTGCCCTATCCTGCACCATCACCATCATCTCCAGCGTGCTCCAGCCCATCGTGCAGTCACTGTGTCAGTCCATCTTGTTGAGAATCTCCCTCTCTTTTGCTGTCCCTCCATATTTCCCAATATATCTTTTTCCAAGGACTGGTCCGTCCTAAAAAGAAGCCTTTAGTCTGTAAGACAGAGTTTCACTGTGCTTGCCTCTAAAGAGCACTCTTCCTGTATTTACTTTAAGACATATCTCTTTGTTCTTTTGTTATTCCATGAAATACTCAGTACTCTTCTCCAACACCATAATTCAGAACCATTGATTCTTCTATCCTCCTTATTGGTTGTCCAGCTTTCAGATGAAAAGGAAGCAATTGAAATTACTATTGCTTGGAGTAGATGTACATTACATTGACATACTTGCTCTTTAGAACTTTAAAGAGGTTATTGACAGCAGATTTCACAAATGCAGTAAGTCTTTTGATTTCTTAACTGTTCTTACTGTTGATGTTAATTATGGATTCAAGTAAAATGAAATCTTTGACAACATTAATCTTTTTTCTACCATCGTAATAACAACTTTTGGTCCACTAAAAGTTTTGGTTTTTTGATGCTGAGATATAATAATCTATATTGAAGGCTATAATCATCCATCTTCTGTAGTAAGTGCTTCAAGTATTCTTCACTTTCAGCAAAGTACTATCATCTAAATAATGCAGGTTGTTGCTCCGTCTTTCTCTATTCTGGATGACACATTCTTCTTCATTTAGTACAGCTTTTTAAATCATTTACTCAGCATACAGATAGAGCAAATATTGAGAGAGGATACAGTTCCAACACACATCTTTCCTTATTTTAAACTATGCAGTGTTACCTTGTTCTGGTTGGACAGAAGCTTCTTTGTCTAGATACAGACGTCTCATGGACAGAAGCTTCTTTGTCTAGATACAGACTTCTCATTTGTTATTATTATATGCCGTCAAGTCGCTTCCGACTCATAGCGACCCTATGTACAACAGCCCTAAACTCTGCTCTGTCCTGTGCCAATCACAATGTCTCTGACACTCCCATCCCGATTACCCCAGTCCCTGAATCAGTCCACCTCAGAAAGCCTTCCCCTCCTGTGCTGTCCCTCCACCCTCCCAAGCATGATGTCCTTCTCTAAGGACCGGTCTAGCCTCAGAATCCTTGCCTCCAAGGAGCTGCCCGGTTTAACTCTTTCCAGGATGAATCTGTTTGTTTTCCTAGCAGTCCA